AGATACTTGGAGATTCACATATTTTTGAAGTTTCTCTTGGTGCTCAACAGGTATCAGGCTTTCTTTAGGCGAAGAACGGAACAAAGATTCGGAGAGGACATGGTCATGATCCTCATTCATTGATTTTATCTGCAAAAATTGTTTATCTTGAGTGTTAAATTGTTCTTTACAAGGTGTATAGTGACTATTGACATGGTGACATCAGGAACGATGTTGCTAATCAATTAACACATTTTAAATAATTCATTTTAAATAACACATTTTAAAAATTAATTAAACAATGCAAAATTTACTTACTTGGATTGGCGACTGTTATTTGTACATTTTTTTTAATGAATTCTTCCACCATGTGTATTTCAATTCCAGCGGAGCCTTATCAAATTTTTTAAATTTCTTTGAAGCATTTTGTAAAGTTTTCGCTTCTCTCTTCCAGAAGATCGTCCTTTTTTCTTTTTCAAATTCATGAATGGCTATTTGTTATTCTTCATATGAAGAAAATCAAGATGCTACAAAAATTGTAGCTGCCTTGACTACGATAAACAAAGCTAAATTATTTTTGAAAAAAAAATCGGAGAGTCACGTGGACAGATACGCTCTATGATTGGTTAAAAATTTGATCGGTAAGATAGCAAAATGAATTTTACTGCGCCGATAATCGGTGCAATAGACACTCCGTTTATAAACAATGCGTATGCAGTGTTGCCAACAGAAAGTAATGTAGGTGTTGCCAGTTAAAATAGAAATTGCAGCTGAACCATTCATAGCTAACATAACAGAAATAAGCAGATATCGACTTTGAAATAGCAGAAATAAGCAGATCTCTACTCTCGTGAACTTAAAACTGAAAATAATAAACAATTTCAAATAACATTGAGTTTTGCTTTAAAATTAAACTTAAACTAAAAAAAATTAATCAGAAAAAGCTTTTCACCCAATCGTCCAACTTAAAAATAAACAAGCAAAAAATTTAAGGCATAATTAATAATAAATATTAGCTCCATATTATAATTAGCTCCTTGCTAATTTTTCATAATAAAATTAAAAATTATTTGTTTACCTCAACTCTATTTAAATTTCTCTTCAAACTAGCTTACAGCTAGTTATAAATGCTCAAATACAAAAAATTCTTTTTGTAAGTGATAGAGCACTGATAATAAAAAGAAATGAAACGGATATCCAGTAGGCAGTATCTATCCGGCTAGTAGGCCGGATATTATTATTCGGCAGTAACATTTGGCTCGAAATAAAATATTGAGTAGAAAGGTAAAAATGAAATATATATAATTCATCACAATGATGGTAGAAAATGTAATTAACATAAAAATCAATATTCTTTTCAAATATATTTTTTTTCCATACTTCAGGGATAAAATTAGCCAAAAGGCAAAAAAGCTGAATTTCCAGGATAGTAAACTTTACGCAAGCGCAAACCTTTAATAATAAATTACAGACAGTTTAAGGTAATGAATATTGTGTTGACATACAATTGTGTACCAATCTATTATTATATAAATGATTGCATTGATACTTAACATTTAGTGAAAATAAAAATTACGAATTGAAAAAATAAAGCTGGAAATTATATTTTTCCTCAGTTCACATAAGAGACAATTATTACTTGAAAAACTATGTGCTTTAGCAAATTAAAACTACTGAGAATATACATTAATATTTCATTTAATAGCTTATCATTTCATTAATCATTTAATTAATATGAATAAGAATCGCAATACGCAAATATGAAAAGCTATGTTTGATATTAAAATCGTGTGAATAAGAATCGAGATATTAGCAGATTTCAGGCTTGTCAGAAGCAGCGTCGTTGGAACTACCAAAATCGGATCTATCTAGAGGGCGGGTAAAAAATTCGGAAAATCTTATCTGCTGCGTGCAAAAGGGGAGAAAATAGCTAAAATAAGTAAAAATGAGAAAGGATTGGTAGCTATGTAGTTTGAATTTTCTGCTTCTCTTTGAAAATCGGTGAATTTTCTGAAAAAGCAGAATACTTATTAAAAAAAAGTGAAATTTTTAGAAAATCTGAATTTCAGAGATAAAAGTGAAAAAATCTCATGCCTGATACTTATACTGTTTATAAAACTAGAGGGCTCCGCCCCCTGCTCGCCAACCCCCGGAGAATTGCTTCGCAATTCTAGCTTGGTTTGCTTCGCAAAACCAAGAATGCTTTGATTTCATATATTTCAATATTAAACTGAATATTAACTGTTATCATCGAAAAGAATTTTCTTAAATGCAGAATAAGCAGTGTGTCAATATCAATGTCACTTTTTTTCGTTGACTACAGTTCCTTCTATAGAATAGAGTAAGAAGTAGGTTTATTGTATCTTCTTTTATCATCGAATATAAATCTTTGAAATTGTAAAACAAATTCACTATCATGAATAGTTAAATCTCTGAGCATCCGATATTTCTGTGCATATGGATCGACTTCCCTTAATACGACTCCCCTTCCCACTTTGATAGGTAACAATTTCGATAAATTACCAGCAAACTCATGTTGTTTTGATTTTAAAATAGGTGGATTAGGATTTTGGTCCATATCATTGTCAACATTGCGAAAGCAAATTGGTACAGTGTGCATTCCAACCACATTTTAATCTTAGATTCTCATCACGTAGTTAAGAAGTTTTTCAGGGGACAAAATTAACTGCAAAAACTTTTTTTTAGAATAGAGAGATAAAGAAATCATACTTAAAATATGTACTAAGTTTTAGTCTATATCTTGGTCACGCTTACAACAGATATGTTGCTGTTGTTAATCTACGTCACAATAAAGCTGCACAATGGGCTATTGGCGACGGTCCGGGAAACATCCCGGAGGATGATCCGAAGATATGCCATCACAATTTTGATCCTCTGCGGAGGGGACGGCACACCCGCTTCGGTAGTCCAACGACCTGCGCGCGAAGTCGGGCACTTTACGGTTGCACAGTTTAACGAGGACCAATACTGCACACCCTCGGTCCCTACGCAGGCTGATCGAATTTTAGTATTTTATGTTTAATGTTAGTATTTCGAATGTTAGTATAGTATGTAATATAACATAGTATGTAGTATATAAAAATATGGTACACAATTACAACAGAATATATTTACTATACGGATATACATATTTATTATATTATAATTATATAATAGCCAACCTCTCTGTTTTCTAAATACGACGTCGAAGCCTTCAACATCATGCCAATGATAAACATCCAGAAATATGCGATGTTATAGCTCCACATTTAAGAAAGGTTAAAACTTTTTCGCACAGTTGCGATATTTGTGGAGATAATTTTAATTCTGATAAAAACTTTAAACAGCATTTAAAAAGTCATACATCTGTTGTGCCTAATGAATACTGGAAGTGCCCACTGTGTGACAAGAAATCAAGCAAAACAATTATTCTGCAGCACCTGCAGAGTGATCATGAACTCAGTTTAGACATCGAAACACTTAATTTTTCTACATTTGATGACTTCCAAAATTGGAAAAAATCCATAGAAAAGGACTCTATGTCTGCATATCTTGTCCAGAGAGGAGTATTCAGAAAACATGATGGAACAGAAAAACATTCTTTTGACTGTCATCGTTCTGGTCATTTTATATCGAAAAGCAAGGGAATTAGGTGCATGAAAGCACAGGGCTCTAAAAAAATAAATGCATATTGCCCATCAAATATGCAAGTGGAAGTTTCCCCTGATGGCTCACGTAGTGTGCAATATTTGAGGAAACATGTTGGACATACAAATGATTTGTGCCATTTGTTCCTTACAAATGAGGAACGTAAGCATCTTGCATTAAAAATGGCAAGCAAAATACCTTTGCAAACAATACTAGACGAAGTAAGAGATGATACTTGTGCTACAGGATTGCAAAGGATTGATTTGGTAACAAATCAAGACCTATTGAACATTGAAAAAAGTTTCAATCTCGGAACAAGCCACGTCTATCATGAAGACATCGAAAAGCAAGGGAATTAGGTGCATGAAAGCACAGGGCTCTAGAAAAATAAATGCATATTGCCCATCAAATATGCAAGTGGAAGTTTCCCCTGATGGCTCATGTAGTGTGCAATATTTGAGGAAACATGTTGGACATACAAATGATTTGTGCCATTTGTTCCTTACAAATGAGGAACGTAAGCATCTTGCATTAAAAATGGCAAGCAAAATACCTTTGCAAACAATACTAGACGAAGTAAGAGATGACACTTGAGCTACAGGATTGCAAAGGATTGATTTGATAACAAATCAAGACCTATTGAACATTGAAAAAAGTTTCAATTTCGGAACAAGCCACGTCTATCATGAAGACGATGCAGTGAGTGTCCAAGCTTGGGTTATCCAAACAATTACCCAAACTTATTGATATCCAAAACAATGTTCAGCTGTGAAATCACAACTTCTTCTCTTGAGCCGCGATGGCTCAAGGGATAGAGCATTCGCCTTCCAATGAGGCGCGGTTCGAATATCGGTGATGGCTGGTTGATACAAATAATCATCCGGCTGGCACTGACCACAGCGGTGTCGAGGTAGATGGATCATGGTCCCTTTGCAGTCAGGCTAACCGTGGGAGGTTCTCTTGGTTTTCCTCTCGATGTAAAGCAAATGCGGGTTAGTTCCATCAAAAGTCCTCCACGAAGGCAAATTTCTCCCAATACTTGATCCGGGAATTCCCTTGTCTTCTGGGTTGGGCTCAAAATTACAAGCCTACGGAGTTGAACATTAGTAGTCGTAAGCCAAGTCATAAGATTTGGAGCAACAAGTGGTATTAAAAAACTTGACATCTTTCAGGCGAGCACCTCTGGCATGTTCTGGTAGTTTACTAGGGTCCACGATGGCAAAATAGTTGATTTCCTCCGCCCCATACAGTTCATTTATCCTCCTGCTGTTTTACACCAGTACTATTGAATCCGGGAGCTTGAAAATAAAAAAATAAAATAATAAATACATACATATAAAATATACATTGATAACACATTTTAATTAAATATTATACACACCGAGGTTTCAGTATTATCAGCAGGTAGTTGTGTCCAGTAGGTAGAACTTGGTTCTTCTAGAGAACCTTCATCAGCACCTGCCCCAATTTCATTAGTCGGAATAGAATTTACCATAAATACTTGGGCGGTCTCACTGAAATCCAAGAGACACTGTGTAAATATACTAGGTGAATCCTAGAAAAAACGATAAGCATAATGAAACAGTCGGGAACCGATTATCCGGAACGATCAGGACCATCGTTATTCCGGATAACTGATTTTTCCGGTTTTCTGAATTTTTATTGTTTATTATTGCCGTTTTTTTATTGTTAAACCAAACTAAAAAAGAAAATATATTTGGAAATAATCTTAAAAGGAAAAAACTATGAAGTAATACAGTAATGATTATTTCTAAAATGATGGTATGGTAAACATCTTTCAAAAAAGAAAGAAAAATCCTAAAATCCTATGAGGAAAAAAATTTATTTTTTTAAAAATGGCGGAAAATTTATTGAATTTCGCTCCGGTTTTCTGATTTCCGGATAACTGGTTCTGCACTGTATAATATATATTCAACCGCTTTTGATATTAACCTGAAATTCATCCATAAAGCTATAAGCTGATGGCGAAAGGGGGTTCTCCAAAAATGTCCACCAACGGATTCTCACTAAAAATGTCAGACTGGTTGCTGCAGAAAAAATAACCTATCCTAAAATAAATAGTAATATTAATAAGCATACTTTAAGAAAAAATTTTTTTTCTCCTTGACAAGAATAAAGAAATTAATTTGACAGATGACTATATATGACACAATAACACAGATTAATTTTAAGGGAATAGAAAATAACTGGTAAATAAAAAACATTCATCAGCTAGTTAGTTTTAAATATAATTACCACGTGCAAACATACATCTATATAAAATTAATTCCATAATAATAATTTAATTTCAATAAACACAACACGTGGTAAGAAAAACAAATTCATCAGCTAGTTAGTTTTAAATATAATTACTACAATAGTGAAATAACAGATAAGATAAAGTAGGGGTGTAACATCAGACCTATTCTTAGTAATAATGAAAATAATGTTAGAATTCAATATCACTGAAAATTTTGATGCCAAAGTAAAAGAATAGGCCTGAATAAGGTCCTCTTAGTTAGCTCCCATTTATGAAATGAATTTCTATACAAATGCATCATTTCATTAATGGGAGTTTTAAACCCCTCCACCACGATAAGGTGGGACCTTTTTGGAGGGGCCCCCCACCTGAAATTAATATTAATATTAATCCACAATAAATTACAGAAAAAAAACATGCTTTATAAACAAATCAAATATTAATGGATGTTAAAAAAATTTTAAAAATTTTTTAAAAAATTAGTTGCAGAATTAGGTAAGTTCTCACCCGAACGATGGTTACCACCACTTCCAGTGACGGGTCAAAGTTGTTTGTCTCCCGTCATATCCAAGTGAAGGCAAATTCATATGGCTCCCGAAGAAGGCGCTTCTTTCCTACAGGCATCCTGGAGTACTGCAGTGTGAGGAGAAATCTGAAATGAAACACAAATTGTTGAAAATGTCCAAGTCCACTCCCACACACGCTGCAGCTGGAGAGAATCCTACTTACATATTAACGAAAGTGCCTAAGGATCTCTGGGGTGAATGGAAAAAGACTTCGGGAAAAACAGCTAAACATCAAGTGAAACAGACTCTCAGACTTAGGAACTTCCTCTCGCCGCCTGGAACAGTGGTGCGTAACCTGAAAAGCAACAACCAGCAATGAGTAAACAGCAAAAGCAGCTTTCACCTCAGCACTGAGCGGCAGACCGCAACTTACTTTGACGAGTCGAGGAAGGCGCTTGTCTCCTACAGGCGTTCCGAAAACCAGATTCCTACGAGGTCGTGCTGACCTGGAGTACTGCTGGGTGAGGAGAAATCTGAAATGAAACACAAATTGTTGAAAATGTCCAAGTCTACTCCCACACACTACTTACATATTAACGAAAGTGCCTAAGGATCTCTGGGGGATAAGACTTCAAACAGGTGCTCCAAAACAGTATTACTATTGAATTAAATATCCCCTTTGTCATTAGAGTGAAGAAGAGAAATAACTATTTTCTGAGCTTCTTCAGGAGTAGGCTTTGAAATGGAAGGTTTTGATTTTGAATGGGATTTCTTTGAAGAGGTATAAGATGCTTGAGGCACAATATTTTTATTAGAAGATGTAGTGGCACACAAAGTTGGAAAGGAGCAGCTGGAAACGTCTGCATGTTCAAGAGCCTTAATGGTTGGCTTAGCTGACATTAGCATCTTTTTAAAAACATCTAATTGTTCCCTACTTGTGATAGCTATCAATTAAATGATTAAGTTCAATTTTAACCTTCTGCTTTTCTTCATCAAGAGAAAAACCCACAAAGTTATCTGATTTATTAAAAGAAGATGAAATTGTATCACATTCACTCTCATCGTCGGCTTTTGAGAAGTCTATCTCGAGATTAGGCTCCGTTGAATTCAGCTGCTTATCAATTTTGAACACACCATTTTCAATGAAACGGCAAACAAGATTAATGTGTTTGCACACATTCCATTTAATTGAGTAGTCTATGCAAGTGCAAGAATATGCATGTAAACATTTATTGCAATCAACGCAAGTTAATCTACATTGGCAATCTTCTTTGTTTGCTTGCACAACATACACTTCTGATGATGAAGCAGACTTGATCAAAAAACAGTCTTCATCAGAACTTCTTGTGCAGTCATCCAAAGACAAAGAGAAACTTGTCTCATGCCTACTTGCAATATCTTTTAATTTAGATGATTCTTTATGTATAACAATCAAGCGATCAACAAGCTTGTCCCGCAGAAACTTCATTAGAGCTTGTATAGCCTTGTCCAGTCTCTTATTATATTTACCATTTAAATACATATACTTAATGCTCTTATGCATTCGCTCGATATGCATGTTAGTGTTCACTCCTGCACTCAGGCGATAACAGAACGCCCACGAATTCTTCACTTTTACATACTCTCGTTCAAAGTAATCGTGGAACTCTTTGGTGTCGATATCAGAAGAGAGCTTATTTAATGCAGCACTAAGCATTTCCTCAAATGCGATTACATCTCTTTCTTCAAGAAGAGTTCTTAACATTTTATATACTTCCACCTGCTTTTCCATACCATTAATTTTCTTAAGGTTCTTTCTCCATGCCCGGTCTACATGCCAAGTGCAGTACAACCTGTGAACTGGTGGCAACATAGACTCGCACCATCCATTGAAGAAACATTCTGCCATATCAGACATGAAAACATTGCAAGAAAGTGGCTCTCCTAACCTTTGTTTTATTTCATTAAGAAAAATTTTAATAATTTGTTTATCAACTCGCTTTGTAAATAAAAAAGCACAAGGAAATCCNAAGACTTCGGGAAAAACAGCAAAACATCAAGTGAAACCGACAACGCTCTTGACTCTCAGATTCCGGATAGTGCCAAAGGATCTCTGGGGTTACTGGAAAAACAGCAAAACCGACAACGCTCTCGACTCTAAGACTTAGGAACTTCCTCTCTCCACCTGGAACAGTGGTGCGTAACCTGAAAAGCAACAACCACCAATGAGTAAACAGCAAAAGCAGCTTTCATCTCAGCACTAAGCGACAGATCGTAACTTACTTTGATGGGTCGAGGAAGGTGCTTGTCTCCTACAGGCGTTCTGAAAACCAGATTCCTACGAGGTTGTGCTGACCTGGAGTACTGCTGGGTGAGGAGAAATCTGAAATGAAACACAAATTGTTGAAAATGTCCAAGTCTACTCCAACACACGCTGCAGCTGGAGAGAATCCTACTTACACATTAACAAAAGTGCCTAAGGATCTCTGGGGTGACTGGAAAAAGACAACTTCCTCTCGGCGCCTGGAACAGTGGCGCGTAACCTGAAAAGCAACAACCACCAATGAGTAAACAGCAAAAGCAGCTTTCATCTAAGCACTTGCGACAGACCGCAACTTACTTTGACGGGTCGAGGAAGGCGCTTGTCTCCTACAGGCGTTCCGAAAACCAGATTCCTGCGAGGTCGAGCTGACCTGGAGTACTGCTGGGTGAGGAGAAATCTGAAATGAAACACAAATTGTTGAAAATGTCCAAGTCTACTACAACACACGCTGCAGCTGGAGAGAATCCTACTTACACATCAACAAAAGTGCCTAAGGATCTCTGGGGTGACTGGAAAAAGACTTCGGGAAAAACAGCAAAGCACCAAGTGAAACCGACAACCCTCTTGACTCTCAGACTCGGGAAAATGCCAAAGGATCTCTGGGGTTACTGAAAAAACAGCAAAACCGACAACGCTCTCGACTCTAAGACTTAGGAACTTCCTCTCTCCACTTGGAACAGTGGTG